TAGCCCTTAAATTCACCTTTTTTAAAATATCTTAATAACGTTTAATTACAAGCTCGTAAAAATTTAATAACTTCTATTTTAAAGTACTATTAATTACCTATTAAATTTTTATAATTTGTTATTAAGTAGTTATTAAGATATGTAAGTGTAAATTCTTAAATTTTTTAATAAATTTTAAAGTAGTCTACTTACTTATTTAGCCCGCTTACTTATTAAATATATTATTATTAAAACTTAAACTAAATATTTTTAAATACTTTACTAATTTAGTTATTACTAGCTTTTTAATAAAATTAGTATTTTACATACACGTTAACTTAAATCTATTTTTAGTAAAAAGTCTAGTAGCTACTTTTACATAAATATGTAATAAATAAAAATACAAAATTAAAACTTATAATAACTCTAATATATTATATAAAATACGTGTTTTTATTATTATAATGGTTTTAGTACTTTTAAATTATAATAATTTAGTAAATTCTATTTTATTTAGTAACTTACTAATTAAATTTTTAACTAACGTAAATTTTATAAACACTTTTTTTATTTTAATTTTTTTTAAACTTTAACTAGTTATTATATAATAGTATATAATAGTTAAAAAAAACTAATAAAGTACTAACTATAATTTAAATAATATAAATTTTTTATAAAGTTATATAATTAAAAAAATTCAATTCTAATAATATTAATAAGTTATAAAAAAAGTTAGTTATAACTAACTTTTATAAGCTTTTACTTAATAAATATAATACTATTATTATTTTATAAAATATAATACTATTATTATTTTATAAAATATAATACTTACTATTAAAATTAGCTACTATAATAATACTTAATATATTTAAACTATATATTCTTTTATAAGTAAGTAGTATTATTAATATTAATATTTATATATTTATAGTTAATAAAACTAAACATTTTAAATTAAGTTTTTACTTTTTTAAATATAATTAAAAAAGGTAAAAAACTTATAAAATGTAAAACTAATATTATTAATTTAATTACTATATTAGAAATTATATATAAATTATATATTTAATTTTTTTTAAATTGAAGTAAAAATATTATTTTCTTTTAAAGTATTTTTTTTTACTACTTTTAGTACTTCTTTTATTTTTAGCTTTATAATAAAAACTTATTAATTTTTTTTAACTATAATTATTAGTTTATTTATTAGTTTAGTTATTTAAGAAAAAAAGCTTTTTAAAAGTACTTAAACTTTATTATTATTATTATTATTATCAACTTTATAGTTTTTGTTTTGACATAAAAAATATTAATATAGTTATTTTTTATAAGTGTTTAGACTTAGCTTTATTAAGAAATTCTTTTTAATATATAATTTTTTTTAACAATTTATGTATATTTTTATAAATAAATTTATTATAGTTAAATAGTTTTCTTATATATAACTTTTTTATTACTTTTTATATAACTTATTTACTTTTATTTATTATATTTTAACTTTTAGTATAAACTATTATTTTAAGTATAAAATTTTTTTTATTAATACCATGTATTGTTTTACTACTACTAATATAGCTTAAATAAAGTTATTTATTTTTTAGTTTTAAAACTTAATAACTAAAAAGTTACTTATTATTATTTATACTATTTTTTAATACTTTTTATTATACTTTTTTAAACACTTTATGTAGTTTTTAGTTTAGTTTTAATTTTAATTAAAAATTATATTTAAAAAATATAGCTTACTAATTAAATTTATAGTTAATATAATATAAGTAATATTTAAAAATTTTTTTATTATATTACTTAAAGTAAAATTAATAATTAATATTATTTTAAAGTTAAATAAAAACTAGTATATTAAAGTTTTATTAAGTAAACACTATTATAATTTCTAGTTTTAAATAAAAATAAGTAGTTTCTTAGTATATTTTAAGAGTAAGTAATTAGTTTTTCTATTACTTTAAGTTAAGTAATAATAGTTAAAGTTTATTATAAATATAACTTTAGTTAGTTTTATAAAGTTTATAATAGCTTTTTTAATTAATATTTATATTTTATTTAACATAAATTATATAATTTTTTTTTTAAATTTAATAGTAATTAATTAGTAAAATATGTATAAAGAAAATAAGTACCTATATTTTATTTATTTAAATTTATACTATTATTATATTTAGGCTATTATATTATACTTATTAATAGCTTAAAATAGAAATTTACTTATTTATATATAATAAGCTATGTTTTCTAATTTTTGATTTAAGTATATAAGTTAATATAGTTATTAAAAATAGGAATTAATATAAGTTTAATATACTATTACTAAAAGTTTTAAATAAAGAAAATGTTATATTTTATGTTTTAGAATTATTAATAAAAGCTTTTATTTTAACTTATAATTTTACAATATTTAGTCATAAAATTTAAAAAAAAAATTATTATTACATTAAATTAGTTATAGTTCATTATTTCTAGTTTTTATTTTCTAGTAAGTAAGTTTAATTATAATTAGTATAATTTACTATTATATTAAGTAAATATTTTTATTAGTTATATTTTTTAGTATATAATTTGTACTTTATTTAATTTTTATAATACTATATAAAGTAACTAAAAACTTAATATTTATAGCATTATTTTTTTACTTAATATAGTTTAATACTTTTAATATATTTTTACCTAACTAGTAATTTATTATTAATTACTTATTTTACTATTTTAGCTATATTAAACTATATTTTTAGTAAAGCTAACTTTACTATTTTTTTCTAATTTTAGTTTATATAATTTCTTAAATATTATAGTTTTTAGTTATTATTTTATTATTTTTTATAACATTTTAAATACTTTATACTTTATTTTCTAGTAATAAAATGGTTTTAGTTAAAGTATAGTGAACTACTATACTAAATTATAGTTTTATAAACTTTATGCTATTTTTTAGTATTTTTGACTACTTTATACTTAATTTAACTATTTATATAAACTTTTTATTTTAGATTAAATTACATATTTTATTTTTATTATTTTAACTTTTATAACTTAAACTTTTTTTAGTTATTTTATGTTTTTAAAATACGTTTTAAATAAAAGTATAATTATTTTCATAAGTGAGTGGGCACTCTAAGTGAGTGGGCACCTTAAAAACTCACTAAAAATTCAAGAATTCGCACCTCAATATCTCAACAACCACATTATAATAAATTCTAAAAATTTAATAGGTTATTTATAGTGCTTAGAAATAGAGGTTTTTTAATTTTTAAGATCTAATAATTAATAGCTATTAAGATAGGAGGTTTTTGGCCCCTAAATTGTTAAATATTTACCTTTTCTTAAATATCTAGTTTACTACTAATTTCTAGCATTTAAGAGTTTAATACTCTCTTTTTAGAAGCACTATAAATGGCCCATTAAATTTTTAGAATTTATTATAATGTGGTTGTTGAGATATTGAGGTGCAAATTCTTGAATTTTTAGTGAGTTTTTAAGATGCCCACTTACTTAAGGTATCCACTCACTTATGAAAATGGTTATACTAAATTTATTAATAATTATTTTTTAAAGATTTTAGTTATTGTGTTATTAGTATTATTATTAGTTAAGTACATCCTAATTTAAATATATATTAATTTTTCAAAACTTTTATAACTTATTATTTATAAAATAATAGTACTTAAATTTATAGTATTTTAATTTATAGTACTTTGACTAGCTACTATTAATATTTATAAATATATATATAAAAGAACACCAAAATCGCGACCCGACCCATACTGTCATATGGGGGTTCTTTTCCGTATCATTTTGTTCTCCAGAGCGAACTGATAGTGAGGATCGCGTCCATTACCGGTGCACGACGTTTGGCGTTGCTAGAGGGCTCTTTTTGAAAGCTCAACCCTTGAAGCGGTCGGAATGGCAGAGTTTTCAAATGCCAAGCACAGACAACCAACCAAAGAACAGAGGAACTAGGTAAAAACCATCCGACATTCTATCTAAAGGGCTGCCCCGCTAGCTACTCTGGTTTGATAGCATGACAGGACACCTCTGTGCTTGTGCCGCTCTGAGAGTGCATTGCACCGAGGGTAGGAACGATCCGAAATTCCAGGCCACCCACAAGAGACTTAACGACGGATTCTCGACGGACTTAACGACCGAACGATGGCGGCCGGATGCGCTTCGACGGCGACTCACTGGAGGGTCTCAAACAGCGTGGTGCTCGCAGCCCTCGACGCAGGCCGGCTGGTTCGTACCTAGATTGCCATCTAGGCACCGCGGACTTAGGCCACCGGCGAGTTATTGGTCTTAGGCAAACTTAAGTAGGACTTGACAAGACGGTGGAACACAAGCTTGGTTAGTAGGAGGCTGAGGGACTAATAGTTGCGCGGCGTCGAATTATCACTGGGCCCACTCCTGCAAGACACGGACGGCCTATCATCTCTGAGAAGGATATAGGTAACGCGAAGCAATCTGCTAGGCGTGAAAGGGATTGTGGGGCGTGGCATATAATGGCAGCGATGGATGGCTCCAAGGTGCTTGCCTCTATGAGGTGGAGCCTTAGTGGACTCGTACGGCCTTGCATATAGGTAGTCCCTTTTGGGCACTTATGTGTGGCGGGCTTTACAATGGGAGGAGGATCACACCCTCGCCAACAACACTGTCTATGTAGCCCGAAAGGACGGATGCGCGTGTCGGTCTATCTAGAGTGTGGGTGGCAGCGCCGCTGAGATAGGCTTAAGGAGCAAATCAGGGAACTTATACGTCTACGGCGTATAGTAGGGAACTTGGGTGGGCAAGTTGTGGCAACTCTACTGTATAATATATAATATACATGTTTCTCTGGTTGGACATGCCACCGAGCCACCCAAGACAAGGACAAGACACAGCTCGACCGGATTGAAGCCGGAATCAATAAAATCAGAAAAGAAACGTGTAAGGGAAACCGCCTAGAGATCCCCCAATCACGAAACAAGACTTGGGCAGCCGTCGCTGCCCAGGCGTCACGCACGGTAAACGCAGCCGCCGCGTCACAGAGGACCACAATCCGAATCCGCCTTAAGGATTCCCAGGGAAAGGACCCAGGAGAGATACTGGAAATGGCTAAAAAGGCAATACCAGGAGCATTTGCTGTAAACACCCTGAAGAGTGGCGATGTCGACGTTCACGTGCCGTCTCAGATAATAAAAGACCAAATCATAAATTGACTGGATACGCTAGGACTCAAAATCCTAAAGAAAGACCATCTCTTAGAGATTCCAGGAGTTCTACTTAAGACAAAAATTAACAAGAGAAGAAACGCAGACAACTTTGAGCTAATACACGCTATATGCGAAGCCACTAAACGGCTAGTACCAGGCATAGCTATTACCTGAATCTGATGGCTACACGACCCCGAGGCGCAGGAGATACGCAGTAGAAACGCTGAAGGCAGCCAAGAAGAGCCAGAAAAAACCTATGGGACTCTAATTATTAGGATACCCACACAGGCGATTTAATAGAAGATTATAAAAAGTAGACTAGTTATCAACTCCCAGCTCTTTAAAGCAAGGCTATTTGATAATAGTATAATTATTAAATAATGTTTTTAATGTAGCTAATAGGGCTATATTTAAAGCGCATGTGAAAAAAAAGTATAGTGTAGATATTACACAGGCCTATATAACATAATAGAATGTCCTTAGGAAAGAGTATCCTATGTAAACTATAGAAAAGCCTATAAAGTATAGTAATAAAAAGAGTATAAGATATTCTAGAGCTATCTAGAAGAAATCTAGATAAAAAAAATAGCCTTTTTTAAGCAGATGCTTTGTATCTATATTATAGAGAAAAAACAAGCAGAATAACTAAACCCCATATAAAGTAACTTTACTATTATAATAAGGAAAAGAGAAAGACAGATTATTTTATTAGGTAACTTATATAAAAGACTATTACTAAAAAGAAGACTAGGTAGACCCTTTTATGTAGAAGTTATAAATAAAGATATTTTATAATTAAGACTTATACTAAACGTAGGCGACATATACCTAATCTAAATAAAAGTAAATAATAATTCTAATACTAATATAGAAGACTGTATATCTACCCTAAATAAGTAAACTTACTATTATCTAATATAACTATAGAAACGTAAATTAAGGTGTATGTTACTTCTTTTTTAATAAAATAATATAAATAGAGTATTAGGTGCTTATAATCTAAAAACTAGTATATAATAAATATACTAAATTAATATACTACCTATATAGATATACTCTAGCATATAAAGAAGACTTTATAATAAAAGTATACTTTATAATTAGCTAAAACGTTAATGCTGTGTATTAGAGATGTAAATAATATAGCTTATTTATTATAGCACTCTAGCTTAGCCTAGAGGGGCTAGAGACTACTATTATTAATATCTATAACTTATATAGAAACTGCTAATAGATTAGGACCTGGCTAGAAATAAATAAAGCTATTAAAAAAGCAGAAAAAGAAGTTATACTTTTTAGAGACTTTAATATATACTACTTAATATAAAAGGGAAGTTATATTATAAGTAAAGTATAAATAAAATACCTACTTTTTAAAATAAAAGTATAAGGTTTTTAACTCACTATACTATAAGGTAAACTGATTTAAAAAAGGGGATAAAAAGAGAGCGTTATTAACCTTATATTTCTATTAAACATAATATATAAAAAGGTTAGCTTCTATGGAATGGAAAATAGATAGGCTCTAATAAAAAACTATATACTAATATAAATCTAAATAGATGCTGCTATTTATTTATAAGAGAAAAATAAACACTACGTGCTTAAAAAACTAGATATAAAAGAATTCCTTTAAGATATTAAAATTTTTAAGTGAATAACGGCCCCGAAACCTCTAGAAGCTTTTTAGAAAGGAATTGTGTATACTTTTAAGTCTTACTATCTATACGTAAGACCTAGCCTATAAGTATATAAAATATAGTTACTAAAAGCAGCCTAGCTTCTTACAGATATTAGATAAATAAGATACTAGTATTATAAAAAGAATTATAACTACTAGAGCTATAAGACGCTGTCCAACCAGCTTTAGAAGAAAATCTAAAAAATAGAAAAAAATAACTAGAGATAATTCATATAAGAATTTATAGCAGACCTTATAAAACTATATAATAAGAAGTTATAGACTCTCTTAAGGTAGAGAAAAAAGAGCGTTAATATAATAAAAAATAATTTCTATTTTTTTAATTTTAGAAGCTCTACTAGTAACTACCTTACTAAAGATAATACTATAAAGATAGAGATTCTAGCTAGAAAGTTCTTCCTAAACATAGGTAAAGTAGATTTTAAAGATATTAATAATAAAATATAGCTAGAGCACACTCAAATTAATATTAACTTATATATATTTAAGAAGGTAATAAGTAATTTAATTATAAAACTTCTAAATAAAAAAGCCCTAGGCCCTAATAACATACTAAATAAGATTTTAAAAATTATACTTTTATTAATAGCTTAGGAGCTTGTATAGGCGGTTTATTAGTATTTTAAAAATAAAATAATACTAATCTATCTTAAAGAATTAATCATAATTACTTTACGTAAAGAAGGTAAGAAGGACGATTTTTTTCTAAAAAGCTATTAACTAATCACGCTAGAAAACACTCTAGCTAAAGTAATTAAAAAATAAGTAGTAAACTTAATAGCAGTAGTTATTAAGAAATATAAACTACTTTTATAAAACTAAATAAAAGTAAGAAAGAAGCGCTTAATATTCTTAGTAATTAATATACTTATTTTTAGTATTTAGACGGCGTAAAGAGCGTGTTTAGGCTACGTTATTTTAATACTAAGCCTAGATCTAACTAGAGTCTTTAACAACGTCTCTTACGAACACCTGTTATATATTCTAAAGAAGAAAAGACTACTAGAATAAATAATTTATTTTATATAAAGCTTTTTAACTACTTAACGAACGCGTATTATATTTCTTAGGTATTAAAATAAGTAAATTTAAATATAAATAAGTATCTTATAGAGATTTCTACTTTTACTAATTTTTTTCCTCTTCTTTATATTAGAGCTTCTAGAGGAGTTTTAGTGATTAAATAGTAATATACTAGTATTTAGCTTTATTAATAATATAAACCTTATCTTATAAGGAAACTCTATTATTAAAAACTATTAACGCCTAACAGCCGTATATAATTAATATATAGCGTAAGTAAAACGCTATAAAGCTATATTTATACTAAAAAAATACTAGCTTATATATTTTACTAGAAAAAAATGCTATAATAGCGTAGACTTAGTGTTAACTATATAAATTACTAGTTATAAAACCACTCTCTAAAGCTTAAGTATATATATACTTAGGGTCTAGATAGACCTAAAGCTTTAATAAAAAAAATACATTTATAAAGTAGTAGAGAAGGGTATAGTAGTTTTTAAAGCTATATTATAAATTACTATATTAATATAAGGCCTGTTTATGAGACGCTTATGCCTTTTATATATAATAATTATCCACCCAATAATGCTCTACAGTGCCTAAATATAGGGAACTTATAATAATAGTAATTTAATAACAAAGAATCTCATCCAGCCGCTTTAGAAGATCTAAAACTAATATCTTTATAAAATAATAGAGATATATAAAAGAACACTAATAGTAGCTATTAAGAGATAGATAGTAGTTCTACTAATTATACTCTATATAAACACTATAGCTTTTTAGAGGACTCTAGATACTAGCTAAGACTTAGTAAAAAAAAAGACAGTAAGCACTTTAGATAATATTTAGATATTACTAGTAAGTTAATAGTAGACCGTAATATAACCGTTGACTCTACTAGAAAAGCTTTAAAACTAGGTAAAAGAATATAAAAAAGAAGTTCTGGCTTACTTTATAAGAGAAAACCCTAGAAACTACTAATACCAACAGGGATAGAGACGTATAGGGGAATTATAAGTATACTATATTAATAGCTATTAACACTACTAATATATAGCCACCCTTATCTTAAAGTAGATAAATATAGAGTGGTAACGCTAATAGTAAAATATAGTAAAAGAATAAATAGTATTTACTTAGTATATTTTATAAGAAATACTTATAATTTTACTTTATAAAAAACCTTTAAAGACAGAAGCCACCGCCCTGCTTTTATTATATATAAAAGTTCTTAGCCTTAATACCTAGCTAGTAAAAATAGGGGTTCTAAATAAATTCTTATAGTATAACTATAGCTAGTTAGTATAGACTATATACTATACTTTTCTTTACTACCTTAGGCTAGAGAGAACTGAACTAATAGTATTATTCCTATTAGAATAACTAGAAAAAATACTAAGCTAGAGAGATAATACTTAAGTAGTAGTAAAATAGTTTATAAGAACGAAATTACTTACTTAGTTTTAAGTAGTAAAAGTAATTAATACTAAGAAAATAAACAACTTCCGCCTATTCTAGAGCATAGACAATTAATAGAAGACAGAAAAAGAAGATAAAAGAGAAAGAAGAAAATAAAATTATCTATAAGACATAAATACAATAGCTAAAATTATAAACTATATAAAAAATAAAAAGGTATAAAAAAAGTGTTATAATAGTAGAGCACTAACGCCCCTTTAGCGTAGTACGTTAATAGATTTTCTTATTAATAAGTTTTTTCTATAAAAGGAATTAGCTTATATAGACCCATTAAGGGGACCAAATCAGGCAGTAAATAGAAATAATAATAATAATAATAATATAGTAATAAAAGGTTTAGGTTTATTTATTATTTTTATAACTAATTACTATTAAAACAATTTAATATAATATTTTTTATAATATAATAAAAAAAAGGTACTTTTACTTCTAAAATTAAAATTATATATAATAATATTTAAAATAATTTTTATATTATTACTTATTACTTTTATTATTGTTTTTAAACTTTTAGAAATAAAGTACTTATTTTTAAGTTTAGTATTATTAATAGTTAAAATTATTTTAAGTAGTAAAATTATAGTAGTATTTATAACTATAATATATACTTTTATAAAACCATACTAAATTTTAATAAAAAAAATTTTAATAAAAATAAATATAAAGCTTTTACTAAATTTACTAAATTTTAAAAAGCATATATTTTTACTATTTATTTCTAGATTTAGTTTTAAAGTATTATTAAAAAAAAATTTTTTTACTTACTTCTTTTAATATAACTTAGAACTCTAAGTAATTATTTTTAATATTAATTAAAATTAAAATTTATTATTATATAATAATGTATTACTTAAAGTTTAATAAAAAATAAAGTAGTTTAAGTACTAATTTATTACTTTTTAGTTATTAGCTAAATTCTCTACTATTTACTATAATAAAAATAAGTTATATTATTAATTTTACTTTATATATAACTATTTTTAATTAAATTTGTATTACTATATACTTTTAATAAAATAGCTTACTAATATTAATATTTAACCAT